CTGGCTGCCAACCCTCCATCCCTATTTATATCCTAACAACGGTAGCATTTGCAGCAGCTGTGTATTGAATATATAGTAATGTCCATGATTTCACTGAGTCTGTAGAGCCTCGAAAGTACTAATGTTTGTCATTATTTCACTTATAAATTAGAGGAGATCCGTGTTCTCCCTGGAAAAATTACTGGTCAGGAAATGACCACCTATCTGGGATAAGAGGAGTTTAACATTGAATTTTTGCTGGAACCAAGGGGAAAGCCTGGGCTGGTAAGAGCATAATTCTGGAAACACCTGTGGCCAGACATGCTACTTTAGTGGGACAGAGCATCTGAGAATGATGACACACAGAGAAAGGGAGGTCAAGAGGTTCAGAGACAGACCCCTGGTACTCTCCCCAATTCCTTGTCTTCCTTGATGATGACAGGGGATGCTGTGACATGCCACGCAGTTCCTCACTGAGGACAAATAACTTGTGCTTCTGCTCCTGCAACTGCTGCTGGCAGGTAGGGCTTGACTGACCGCCCTCTTTGGAATGGCATCTGCTGAAGAGAGCCACCTGTCCCATGTCACACCCCTTCCCAGCATACAGCAGGTGCTCAATAATGATTTGTTGAGTGAAAGAATGACTGAGTGTGGTCTTAAGAAGTAACTATAGTGCTGAGTGATGGACAGTTCAGAGTCCCTGGAAGTGTGCCATGGAGGCAGACAGTCACTTAGTAGAGAACCGGCAAGTCAGTGAGAATGTGGGACTTGGAATCAGGCAGACCAGGGTTTGAGTCTCAGCTGTGCCACTTCCTGGCTAGCTGCAGGCCTTGGACAAGCTACTTGACCTTGAAACACCTCCGTTCCTTCATCTTTAAAGGCAAGAGTTGGATTGGAAGCCACCCCATAGGGTGCTGGGTGGATTAAAGGCTGCCTCTGAAGCCCTTGGCAAGTGCTGGGCATTTCGCAAGTGCTATACAGAGGCTAGTTGTTCAGTTTCTGTTTCTCAGAAATTATAGGTCCTGTCTCCAGTATCTGCAAGGACCCCCAAGGCCACAGGAGCTGGGGTACTCGCTTAAGAAAGGGCCACGCTACCACAACCCCTGTCTTATGAGCACCTCTTGGCATTCCTTTTCCTGTGGCATTAACTGCCCTCCCAAGATAAAAGGAGGCAGCAGTGCCCTGGGTTCAGGGGTGGGTGGCTGATGGGGGTGGCGACCGATCGCACAGTTACTTCTCCACTTCCTGCCTCTGATACAAAGCAGAGTTGAGGTGGGTGAGGAATGAGTGGCCACTGTCTCTTGACAGGATTTAGAATGGTTACACCCATGGCATGATCACTCACACTCGTCAGATCTGCAATCTGGTGGGAGATCAGAGTGTGCTTTGTGTTGGGAGAGGAAGAGACATCGTTGCAGTGGCGAGAAGCAGCTCTGCAACGGGGTAGGTGGAGACAGGAGGAAGTCCCACATGTCAGGAACCCATACGAGGGGGCCGCCCTCCTCCCGTCCTGTACCCTCCTTTCTCTGGCCAACACCTGGATGCTGGACTTGGTGCAACTGGACCCCAAAAGAGGTAGTCACAGTTGGTCAACTTGAGGAAGGGGATAGAATCATACCCCAGGCAAACCTAGGCTCCGGCTGCCGATTCCCATGGCCTCCAGCCCCTTGGGATGGCCGAGGAACCTTCTTCCTTCTGTTAGATGAAAACAGTGGTTGACCCCATCCATAAGAAGCCAACACTCACATAGCATGCACTTGTTCTGTGCCGAGCACCGTTTAAACACTGCCTGCCGCGCCTGTCAGTCTCCCAAAAACCCTATAAGCTGGCTGCCGTCCTTAGCCCCAATTCACAGATGAGCAAACGGTTGCTCAGCGAGGTCCAGCCACTTGCATGGGCTTACACAGCCAGTAAGTGGCAAGGCCAAGATTTGGCCTTGAACCTGTGCACTTGACCACCATAATATATGACCTACTCCCAAGAGGAAAGGCTTACTTGTAGGTGATAAGTTTCCCATCTTTGTGGGTGACAGGAATAAATAACTAAACTAGACAGAGGCCTCTTCCATGTAGTGATTTATTTTAGACATAAGTTCTCACTCTGCTGCCCAGGCTGGAGGGCGGTGATGTGATCATAGCTCACTGTGGCTTCCAAATCCTGACCTCAAGTGATCCTCTAACCTCAGCCTCCCAAAGTGCTGGTATTATAGGTGTGAATTGCCCCGCCCGACCTTCCATGTATTTAGCGTGTCCCTGTGCCAGACTCAAAACTAAGTACTCTGCCAATACCATCTCATTTCACTCAAGACACCCCTGCCGGATAGAACCATCATTCCCCATTGTGGATGAAGAACCTGGATTTAGAGAGAGTAGGTAACTGGCAGGAGGTCTCAGGCTGGTGAGGCCTGGCGCTGGGAATCACACAGATCTGGCCAATGCAAATCCTGAGCTCTTCACCTCTTATCAGGCATGGTGTCCAGGTGTTCAAACTTCTAGAGGGTTGGATTGAACTAGATGACTTTTATGGTCCTAGCGAATCCAAGATCCTGAGGGACTGAAAGTCTGACAGGTGAAAGGACAGACTTGAATAGAGCTGCTGTGACTGGTTGCTGTGCCAAAAATATCAGTCATTACCTCTTTAGATTTAAGGGTAGATTTTATTTCTCCTCCTAGACTTTGTTTTTTCTCTTAACACACTGCTGTATTTTTCCTGAAAAGTTTCCCAAGGAGCAGAGAGTTAAGTGGACCCTTAGAGGGTCTACCTTCTTGGCCGAGCATCTAAAGAGACACAAGCCATCCTTCTAACCTTCTCTTGTCCAGCACTTCCCCATCTGACAACCCTGGACACAAGAACCAGCACCCAGGTAGGCCCCAACTATTGATTCGGCTGCCAGTTTTTAGATCTTGTCCTGCCTGCCCCGTCCATGGCACTTGCACACAGGTCAGCCCTGCTTGAGTTGCATCTGTTTGGATCAGGCTCTATTCCCAGAGTGACGGAGATATAGTAGGTGGTCTGCCACACAGTTGTGTCTGGCACATAGGAGGCGCTCAGTAAATGTGGACCCGCGAATCAGTGCATGAATTGACATCACTTGGCTTCCTGGATGTCACACCTCTTGGTTTTCAGCTGGCCCCTTCTCTGGCTATCTTTTCCAGTCTCAGGGGTGGACACACCATGCATCAGTGAGGTTTTTCAATGTTTTATACCTTCAGCACAGATGCCTCCTCTGGAATCCAGACATAAATTTGTCCATGAGCATTCCCTGAGCTGTCTAGAAGGCATTTCTAACTTAGCACGTCCCATAATTAGCTCCAATTTACCAATCCTGCAGGTACTCCCCTCTTGGTCCTCCTGTGGAGGGCTGCTCCATTCTCCCAGTTTCTCAGACCTCAAGCCTCAGAATCATCCCAGACTCCTGTCTCTCACACATCTCAGCCATCAACAAATCCCATCAGCCTTACCTTCAAAATATGTCCAGAGTCCAACCAGCTCCACTGTGACCACCTGGCTCGCCATCAGTCACCGGACGAGCACCCGTCTTCAGCTTGATCTTCCCACAGAAGCCAGAGTATGGAAGCACAGAGCAGACCGTGCCTCTCCTCTACTAGAAAGTCTCCGGTGGTTCTTTCATGTCAGAGTCAAGCCTCACTCAGGTCTCCAGGTCTCACACCTGCATCCTCTGTCTCTCATCCTCTCTACCTCACCTCCTTGCTAGCCCTATTGTGGCTCCACTGGTCTCCTGGCCATTCCTCCTGCACCACACACCCTTTCCTACCTCGGGGCCTTTGCACTTGCTCTTCTCACTGTGGAAAACACTCTTCTCCCCGACTCCACCACCTCCTCCCTCTCATTCTTCAGCGGCTCTTTGCTCAAATATCACTTTCTCAGTGGAGTTTTTTCTGACTCTTCTGTTTACCCTCCCCTTCCCTTCGACATTCTTGATCTCTCCTGTTTCATTTTTCTCTGTAGCACATATGACTCGTGTAGCAAACCCATCTATTATTTATGAATTTATTTGTATAGTCCCTCTGTTTAAATGTAAGCTCAAAGGAGGCAGGAGTTTTATCTGTTTGGATCAGGCTCTATTCTCAGAGGGATGGACAGCGTCTGACACATAGTCGGTACTCAATAAACGTGGTCCCACAAATCGGTACCTGAATTCAGTGTTTGGCTACACATGGGCCAGGATGTGGGCTGTGGAACCTTCTGGCCTCTGTGTGGTAGCCAGGAGGCTCTTTGGGGCCTGCAGCTGTTTCCTCTGCACAAAGCCCATGATGGAAACTTAAGTCCCCAACAGCTCTTGAATTCTAGGAATCTTAAGGAGAGGCCCGAATTAAGGATGCAGATGTGGACCATCAGGCAGTTGAGGGACAGGGGAATCCAATTCTGAGGGTGGCAGAAGAGCCAGGTGACCGGTCAAGTAGGTTGGACAGAGGGCAGAGGACAGGCAGCGTCGTGGCAGAGGGCGCACAACGCTAAAACCAGGCCCACGTGCGCTGGAGCGCGCGTTTCGTGGACCAGCTGTAAGGCATTGAGCAGGTGACTTAACCTTTCTGGACTTCTGTGTAATGTTTTGGGGGAAAACAATCGTGACTCCCGCCCCGGCAGAGTCGCTGTGGCGACCCAAGGAGATCGCACAGGTGGCCCAGCGTCCCGCTGGCAGCGCAAGAGGCGGTCGTCCCCGGCAAGGAGGCGTGGCGGGCGGCGGCGGAGG